CACTGTTCGTTTTCATCGCGTGGAATTCGATGAGACTACAGTGCGTAGCACTGCGTGCGTATGTTAACAACCGGCTTCTTCCGTTTTCGGTGCTCGTATCCGGCAATTTCATCCGTGACGTGATGGCATTGTGTTGTCCTGGAAAATTCATTTTGATGAACGACATTTGTCATTCATGTCAATTTGAATGCGTGAGAACGAATCGAACGAATGAAAGGAGCAAATGTTCCATTGCTCGAAAAAAATCGTTTATTATTTTATTCATGCGACATTACTATGTCCATGCTGCTTTTATACTTGATATGTTTCCTTCGTTTCGGTGAATTGAATTGAGTTTGAGGTGTCGTCGTTCGGTTGACAGTGCGCGTAGTTTCTTCTTCGTTTATTTTTGGAAGCAAATCTTCCGTGGCGCTGTTGATATAGCGATGACGCACACAAAAATACGGAAAACAACTCATTGGAAAAAGGGCAACGACGAGCGTCAGTGTTAGTATCAAAAGGAGAAAATGATTTAAAACGATGTGCACAAAAAATTTACGCGTTTCCATAAAGAAAATGAAAAACGACGAACTATACTGATTAAAAGACGAAATTGTCATCATCATCATTGCTCTAATACATTTGACGACAGCTCAAGTGAAAAATTCAAGCGTTTGGAGCAAACAACTGAAGTCGCACATGCGAAAAAAAAAAATAAAAATCGACGAATACCAAAACTACTACTCTTTTTTTCCACACATTTCTCAATTAAATCGACGCAATTAGCTCAGACGCGTCCAGATAAAAATGAAACGGAAAAAACGGTTCTAAAAACGCACAAAATGAATCCATCAAATGGAAGCAAGAAAAAAAAAACGGTAGAACAGTACAGTTGTTTGTGATGCATTTCGATTGAGTTCAAGTTAAAAAAAGCTGCGAGAAAAAAAAACACTATAGTCGATTTTACGATCGATTGAATAAGATGATCGCGGCCCTTGTATTGTTGACGATGTGTGAATTGAGTGTGAAAGGCGATATTTTGTGGCCACAAGAACGAGTGAATCCTCCTCGACTCTTCTTCGCATGCGAAGATCTTCGGTTTCGGAAGATGGAAATGTGTTGCACGGTTGAGAATCCCAACTTGAGATTGATCGTGTATATTGAATATCATCGGCAAGGGAATCGGATATGCCGCAGCACAGCAGGCAGTCACCGAGCACATGTAAAACATAAACGAACAAACCGAACGAAACATCTTCACAACAAAGTATGGAAAAATTGAATTTGAGTGCTGTGCGCGCCGTACAATGCAAATGATGTGTGCAACAGAAAAAGCCGCAAACATAACATGCACATACGCCACGCAAACTTCAGTCCAATTAACAATGAAATGAGCTGGAGAGTAAAAGAGATGGAGCTAAAGGGAGTAAGATGAAGAGACAGAGACAAAAAGATTGGAAGAAAGGAAGGAAGGAAAGGAACACAGAACGAGTCAAGCAAACGAAATGTGCTCGAACAAGAAAACACCGAGAGAGCATAAACCAAGAAATGAGAACGATACGCTTGTGCGCGCGAACATGTGCTGTGGGTTTTTTTCGTTGCATTTTCGGTTCCCGTTTTGCTCGAAAGAAATGAGAAGAAAAAAATCACAATCGATGTCTCTGTGTGTGTGTGTGTTTGTGTCCATTTACAACAAATCGAACACATTGCTGCATCGACTGCCAAATGAGGCAGCACAAATGAATACACCGAAAATGCGTGCGTACCGTTGTGATTTTGCGAACGAGCCGAACGTAAACATCTGCATGTCAGCGAAAGAACGAACGAAAAAAGCAATAACAGAATACGACGCAGAAAATAGCAGTTGCCGAACCGAGTCGACAGCCGATTGCGTAACACAAAACACACACGATCACTTCGATTACAACATCAAGTCGGGCTTCATCATTCCGAATTCGGTGCATCGCCGTTGTGTTCTTTTGCTCGCCGAATTGCCGACAACATGTTATTTTTAAAGAACAAACGCGCTCTTTCCATCTACTCTTCGCATTGTGTTTGGGTTTTGATTTGAAATTCGGCGGTGTTCGAGCCGTTTTCTCTCTCTCTCTCTCTCTCTCTCTCTCTCTCTCTCTCCTCGTTCGTCTTCATTTAAAGCTCTTATTTCGGTTGTTGTTTGCGAATTGAGCGTAAAGTGTTTGCCGTGAAAACGAAACAGGTTCGCGGCGAAATTGAAAATTGAACATTAAATGTGCATTTTTCTGGATTTTTTTTTTGGTCGCACTTTGCTCACTCAAACATTTCGGTGGTCTTTGTGATGTGTGAGCGCCTTCTTCACAATCAATTTCCATGGACATTCCGTTAAATGCACTAAATTCTCGATGTTCCCATATTGTGGGGCCGATATAACATGAATTGTTTTTTTTGAAGCAATCAAAGGCGTGCATTTCAATGGTTGTGCTCTGGAATGAACACTGTTTCTCATGGAATTGTGGACAAAATTGGAGCTGAAGCAAAACTAAAACCCAATCCCAGTCCAAAGCCAAAGCAAAAACTCGGAACAGACATCGAAATCAGTATTCGGAGCTGAAGTCAAATTTGAAGCCGAAACCGAATTCAAAGATGGCAAAGGGCGTATGACCTTTGACCAGGTGCACTTCCGATGAATGGATACGGTACGATCGAAACGGAAATACGTACAAACATGATTCAAAGAAACAAAACCGGAATCAGAACAGTCCATCGTTTAATGTATACGAGCAGCCGTGATTTTGTGTCAGCAGAATGTAAACCTCACATTTTTCGAGTCGAAAATAGTTGAATTACTTGTAAACGAAAGAAAAAGATTTCGTTTGGAATATCATTTAAGCATTTTGTATTTCATATATGATGGTACTCATTCACGGTGTCCACCACTTGAGTGTTGTTACATAATGTGAATGGAAATGAAGGCAGCCCCTTGAACGTGAGCGAGAGAAAAACACACGTCTTTTGTTGTGTGATTGACGAACGGAAATTTGAGCTCGGCTTAGACGAAATCAATGCTGGCATCGAATCATGCAACGAATTTATCCATCGTTCGTTTTGCATTTCCCGTTTATTTTTGTCTTCTTTTATTTCTTCTTTGAAACCGCATTCATCAGCGGGTTTTTAGCGAGCAACGCGCTTCACTACACAGACAACGATGGAAAAAAAGAACCAAACACAAGCCGGGGAAGAAGAAGAAGAAGAAGAAGAAAACGCAGATCCATTTCAATGGCTTGGCAAACATAAATCAGTAAATGTTAATGCACAGCAATTTAATGTTTATTGTCTGTGTGAATAAAGTTGTGCTACGAGATTATGCTTTTTTTTCGGTTTCGGTGTTCGCGTTGGATTTGGTCGCAGGGAATATGCCTGGTGCCTTGTGTTGCTCGTAAATAACGTACTGTCGATGGAAAAACGCGTTTCAATGAGATCGAGCCAGCGAGCGCACGTCGTGTGAATATACACATACACACACACACACACAAGGAACGGGTAATTTCGAGAACAAAGTTTGACAAAGGTCGACACTGAATTGCAACGTCGTTGCAACAATATTCTCTCATTTGCCCCATCTCTTTCTCTCTCGCTCTCTTTTTCTCTATTCGTATAGACGACGGAGAGAACAAAGGTTTTTGTGTGCTTCACATGACATTGACAGTGATTTGAAAGCATCATTCTTGAGGCCCACAATCAACGGGCATCATTCATGAGCAGCGACAAAACAAATCATTCTTGAACGAAGAAAACATCTCGCTCTTGAACCCGGACACCAAAGTTCGATGCAATAAATCAAAACAGTTGATAAAATGTAAATATTAATTTATTTCGACGGCATTCCGTGTGAATATGATGGGCGACCAGCCATAAATTTATAAAATTGCATTTCGTGCCATCAATTAAAATTGCAAGAAAAATGTGTATCCATTGGAATTGGTACCGTTGCGACACGCTCCACATAACGCTTCTAACGCTTTATCTTCCGCTCTTTTCCTTTCTTCATGACTTTTTTTTAGTCTCGTTTTGTTACATCTTTTTATGTTTTTCAGTAATAAAATATTAGAGTCTGTCTCTTCTTCTGCCGAGGTATCGAGTGATGTACGGCTCAAACCTGAAGGGAGGGAGGGTGATGATTCAAAGAAAAGAATCGACTTGAGTAGCTATTCAACTGTTACGTGAATGGCTTCTTGAATAGCAAAAGATCAAACCTAAGGGAGGTGGGTACACCAGGGTCTAGTACCTCCCAGTCTGTTTGAAAAGTATGAATCAAATAATGCGACTTTTGCTTTCATAAACTCGGGCTCGTACTTAAGCCAAAGAGGCTCGTTGTGAATGGATCATCCTACGCACTGTTTTTTCTCTCTCTTTGCCTTCGTCTCTTTTTCTCTCTGTCGAACGAATATTGATTGCCATCCAAACCGTAATAACACTCGATATTAAATATAGTGTGGATTTTCAATCAGAAGTGGGTTTCAACGAAAATTACATTCCAAGCATCAGCATCAGCAACGGCAGCAGCGGCAGAAAAACAACCGCATCAACACCAAAGCACAAAACACCAAATGTCCGCGTAGGACTCACACACGAACACAATTATATGCAGAAAATTGAGAGGCTGTAGGCTTTTAATGTGGGCTGATTAAAGTGCATAATTGGTTTTATGTGGTACAAACACCGAATAAGCAGCATCAAATTGACAGAGTGAACGAGAGAGAGAGAGGGAGAGACATGGTCTAACATCGAAAAAAGCAAATCACAGTTATATGCCGGAGGCTAGCCTCGTTCATCATGTTAATTAATTCACTCGCTGTGGTTTTACAGCGAAAAAACTAGAAGAAAGAAAAAAAAATTTGAAATCAATTCCTCTATTCACAAATGCGGTGAACCGATTTGATTTATGCAATCAACAACCAGAGGAAAAGAAGCAATAAGAAAGAAGAAGAAGAAGTCGTAAAACAGACGATAGAAGAAGCGGAATAGTTAAATCGATTTGTACTCACCTTCATATCGTTGATAATTTGTTGGAATAGTGTGCCAATGACACCTCCATCTCGTTCCAAATTTATATCCATTGTGTATTCGTTTGTTTTTTTTTTGTGTGTCTATTTTCGGTCTGTCGATCCTCTCGGTCGTTGTTTTGTGCTCGCTGTGCGATATTTATTACGCAAATATATACAAACTCATACGCGGCTGAGCCCCTGCGATTTTTTTCTTCTGTTTTGTTGTTTTTTTTTTCTTTCCTTGGTGCAGAGGGGCAGAGAAAATGTCACTCTTTTTTTTCTGATTCGAAATACGATCGATTTTCACAACGGTTGAGTTTTGTTTCGTTATTTATTCCTAGATATATTTATTGCGATTGTTTCACAAGAATTGTTCGGGCAACCACAGAAAAAAAGCACATCGAACGCGAACAAATCGAAGTCGGCAAATAGTATACACAACACTCACTCCACACACACTCAGTCGCACGTTCTATCTCTTGCTCGCTCGCTCGATCTATCTTACATTACGCACAAGCTCATATCGGCTCGGCAGTGGCGGGCTTTCAATGAGAATATAGGTAGAATGCGACGATGACGGCGGTGGCGGTGGCGTTTGCGGTGCGTCGACAATAGAAGTGTTTTTTGAACAACGGCACGTAATGAGACATGTTTGATACCAATGGAAACATGAAACCTAAATGGATTTTTCGTAATTGTTTATACGATCGTTTTTATTTTTTTGCTTCTTTTCACCCGGCACTTTTTTTTCCTTTACGGTCGGTTGGTTTCGGTTCGTTAGTTCATTTATCGCTTGTTCAATTGAGACGAGCGCGCGGGCGCGTCAAATAAAGTCGTACGAAACACAAGCACTTGTTCAAGAGAACTTCTTCGATTGAATTCTGCTGTCGTCGAAAGGAACACACTACGCACGATTCCTTTGTTTGCTCATGGGTAATTGCTTAATTCACTTTATTTTCGTTTGCCTTTTTTTTATTATTTCACACTTTAACACAGTATCGCAATGTCGTTTCACTCGCGATTCTTAACCTTTTTTCCCCTCTGTTGTTGCTGTTGGTGTTGGTGTTGTGTGCACGAGAATTTATAGCTCTCGAATTCAATTGAAGCGAATTTTGAAGCTCACAATTTGTCTCTATTTTTAGCATTTGATAATAAACGATTGGTTATTGTTGAAAAAACCGAATTAGACACATTTTTCTAACTTCTCACGTCCAACGAGGCCTCTCGTTCTCGATACTTTCGATGGAAATTTTCCTCACGCGGCTTTCTGTAATTAAAAAAAAAAACAATACGATTTTCATCAAAATAACACATGCCATTTCAATGTGACTGCTGCTGGTGTTTGTTTATTTTCTGAAATGATTCGATTGTGTGAATATTTTCGAAGGATGTCTTGCACTCTCTCTCGCTCTTTCTTTTTCTCTTCTTTTCTCTCGCCCCTTTTCCCTCTTTCTCTCTCTCTCTCTCGCTGCGTCTGTGTCACAATTGTCTAATTCTGTTCACAGCTGCACAGGTGAAACCTGTTAATATGGCTTGGGTTTTATGTGTTTCGTCAAATAAAATATTGCCATTAGTGAAATATCTTGCAAATAATCGCCCCAGCAATCGATCACAAAGTGACTTTTTGGATTGGCTAATAAATTACCGGATGCTATTAAGTAAAAGGTAGCAATTGGATTTTGTGACCGAAACACACTCACTCGCACACAAATCGCCGAAAATTGAAAGCCAATTCATGGCATGACACATGGCATTTTCCATGTAAATACCACCAATTTAGAATATGCACACTCTTTTCTCTTTCTGATTTCTCGGTTTTGTTTTCTATCTCCGTCTGTGCCATTTCTTCCACTTAACTGTTGGCTCTTCGAAAGAAAGTGGCCGAGTGAAAGGGATGGACGAAGCAAGACTTTCCTCCATTACATAAAAATCAGATGAATAAAACAATGATGGCAAAGTGTGGAAAAATATGCGAGTTCAGGCTGTCAGCTTAAATAAATCGCTTCTCGCGGTCATTTTTCTCGATGCTTTAGCGAAAATTACTAGTCGACGAATTTTACTCTCTTTTAACCCGGAATAAAAACAACAACTCACTCACATCGGTTTGCGCTCGCACATCAAACAATTGAAAGTTATCAATTGTGTGCGAGTGTACTTGTGATACATATAATGCATACTGGTCTGATATAATGGCATTCAAAACCGTTATGTCACTTACACACCATCGTCTAATCCAACGCCCAAACGTGTTGAACCCATGTGCAGAAAAAACAACAACACACACACACACTGAGCACATGTGAACCTTAACGAATGAACATTGAACAAGAGCTTGAAAAAAAAACGCGCTAGCGTCACCTCCATGAATTGAGTTGATGTGTCGGGCATTGTACCGCGAGAGAGCCCAAAAGCAAAAGAGAGTGAGAGCGAGAGAGAGAGCGAGGGCAAAAGAGTGAAAAAACGAACGACCGAGAGTACAAAACATAGAGCCCAGACAATCAACATATCCATCGGGCGTAATGCATGAAATAGACGCCGCACAAACGATCATCAGTCACACACGGTTCACCAAAAACAATTTAACATAACACACAACCGAAAAACAAAACAAAACCAAAATATTTCGCATTTTGCCAATTGCACATCAGCAGCGCTACGGCTACGCTTTATATTTTTCACGGCTGTTTCTCGCTCGCGTCCGTGTTTTTCCCTGTCTCTCACTCGCACTCTCTGTTCGGTTTGTGTCGAATTCGAATAATCAGACTTTTCATAGAGGTCGAGTTGATTGCTTTCGTTTTGATTGCGCCCATTTTCAACGGAATTCCAACTCTCGCTCTCTCTCACGACGAGAGAACAACGAATTCGAAACCGTAAAACAATGCCCGAGAAAAGCAAAGAAACGAAAATACAACAAAATAACTCATAAAATTCGTATAATTCGAACGAGAGCAAAAGAAAAATGGTATCCCAAAATGCGACATAATCGTTCATTATATTTCATCGACCGAGTTCGCAATGAGAGCGGACGCACACGCTCCATTGTATTATGCAATGCAATGCAAGATATTGTCATAGACACAAAATGAACGACAAACGAACATTTTCTACGCTGCCATACACGGAATCGATGATTTGGCGAGAAATATTCTGTGTTTATTCGTCTCTCTCTTTCTCTCTCTCCGAAAAGTATCTACAATCAAATTATTTTTATCAAAGCGACGAGAAAAAAAGTGGTCGTTCTGGAGGGAAATGAAACAATTTTCAATGTGTATAAAATGTTGTTGAAACTGAAGTGAAAGAAGACGAAGAAAAAAAAAACGCGAGCCAAAACGATGGATCCGAGTTTATGGTTTTTGGTGGCCGTTTGCAATTGTCGTTTTGTTTCGATATGTTTTTTTTTGTAGGGCCTCTTGGTTTCGTTCGTTTTTGTTGCCGTTCATGTTTCCCATTTGGTTTAGATGGCGACTAGAGAGACTTTAATGCATTTCAGTTCGACCGCGACCAACCGAGAGAAATAAAACAGCCCAAACAAATGGCACATAAAAGAATTAAATTGAATTAAGAGTCGCTTGCAGTTTTCGGTTTTTATTGGCGGTTTTTTTTTCCTTTCGTTCGCTACTCGTTTGGTTTCTTGGCCCGTTAAACATGTAGTTTTCTGTACGGCGGAAGAAAATGAACGAAAATGTTTTAAATGAAATGCGATTGTAATTGAAATGGCAAATATGTCCATTGAGTTCCATGCGAGAGCGAGACATTTCTGGAGCCAATGCTGTGGCGGCGGCAGCAGCTAACATAACAACATACGTTTTTTTCTATTCAGCCCATTCGTTGGCTACTGTGCACGATGTAATCCAAATCTTTAACTACATGGCCATTAATATGAGATCATTTCTGTCTCTAGCCATTAATGCAAGTGATCAGTTTTCCCGGCCCAACAATCAGCTGTACAATATTTTAAATCATTTTCTTCGGATTACATGATTTTCATCGGAATGAAATCTATCTGTGTGTTTGCGCACTCATGTCGAACCATATAACCTTGTCTTAATACCTCCCTCCCTTTCCATTTGGATCATTTTCAATTTCGCGGAAAACGACTCATTTGTACTATTAATCCGCTACGTAATTAAATCGCTTACATGGCGGCTAAAGGAAGCAACCGATGCGTTTTTGGCCATGTCTTTTTCTTTGCTCGCTTTTTTCCCTTTTCATTTTGGTGTCTCGATATTAGAAGCTCGACTTAATAACCATTACATGGTTTCGTATTTTGTTCAACCAAAAAAACATGATTATTTCGACTAAAAATGGTAAATTCAGCTAAGGTCACCTCTTGTTGGCGCTAATCGTGTGTGTCTGTTATTCGAATTTTTTCGATTCCGCGCGCGCGCATTCACGTATCGTGAATTATATTGTTCAGCAATAAAATCCACTTTTCTCACACTGGCAACGGTAGTGGCCGCAATTCGCAAAATTGATCGATCGCTACTAATTACATTTCGAACATGTTTCGTTCGATTTACTATTTGGTAAACCGTTGGCATGAATGAAATTCAACCACAATTGCACACGAATGAATCGAAATGATCGATTTTGGTTACAATGGCCCAAGGTTTGGACGAAATTTGAACACATTTGATACGCTTTTCTTTCATCAAGGACCATTTGACCTAATAGCTACCGAATCAACATCGAACTTGATCAAAAATCTTTGGAATTAAGTGTTTCTTTTATGAAAAATGAACTTTTTCATTGAAACAAATCTTTTTTTATTTAAAAAAATAAAATTTTTCATCCCAAGTTGAAAATTTCGTTCAATCTCAGAATTTCTGGTCAAAAATGAATTTTTATATTGCAAAACAAACTTTTTTCATTTAAAAACCATTTTTCGTTTGAGAAAAATTCTTTAAAAAATCGATCTTTTTTCTGAGCACAATATTTTGTTCTGAATGGATATTTGTTCCATTCCAGTTATGAAAAACGGAAAAATGCAATACGATCGCAATTCGAATATATAAAAAGTGATAGAAATCTTCTATTAAACGAAGAATCTATTCGAAGAATCACGTGAATTTGCATAAAAATACGGCAAGCCACCGTGTTGATGGGAAGCGAGATGAAAACAAAGAACGACATTTTCTTAAACAGGTCTATCAGCATGGATTATGTTCACATCAATTGTTTATGTGCGATTATTGCTGCCACTGCTGCTGCTGCTGCTACTGCCGCCGCTTTTTTCTAGTGTGTTTAATTATTATTGAACTTTAGTGTCTCGATTGAGCTCAATGCTTTAAATGGTGATTTTAACAACAACCGACCAACCAGCCAGCAATTGAACGCTCAATCAGAATTAATTAAAGAGGATGCATAAACGTATGAATATAAACTATTAATAAATCAAGCGCTTTTTATGGCCAACGCCAACTTTTCTATACTCATTTGAAATCGCTAACCATTGGTGTTGATGTGTTTAATCAAATGGTACTTGATGCTTGTAATAATGGTAATAACATTTGAGCAAACCTCTTTTTTTGCATTCGTTTCGATATTTTCCCATAATTTCGATTGAAAATCGGATACGGCCGATTTCTTGGGTTTTCAAATTCGATTTCGTCTGTTTTTTGTTTCGTTATTTTTAATCCGATGCTTCAATTTTATAATAAAACACATTAAATTGCTCTTTCTATCCCATGAAGCTTTCAATACTTATCACTGCATTCAACGTTTCTGTCACTTTCAATTCATTGCAATGCGCTGATTCGATGTCGATACTTTTTTGTCTTGGCTCTGTGGAAACGTCTATGGAATTGCATAAGTTAAAAGTGTCGCGCGTGCGATCCTCTTATCAAATGTGCAAATCGAAAAAAGCCGCGCTCGTTCTCGCGAACAGGGTGGCGGCTCGGCACACACACACAGTGTCACGCGCACGCTTTCAACTATTTTCGTGACAACAATATAAATAATAATATTTTTATTTGATTGTTATTCATAATTTTATTGCTTCGTTTAGAAGTGCTTAATCGTTTTATGTGTGTTGAGCGGGAATGGTGTACGGAGGCATGCAAGAACCAGTGCTTGTCGTCAGAAATCGGTGTCTTTATCAATTGTTTCGACGATAGATATTCTCGAGTTGGCGTCGTCGTCATTGATTGTGAAACGATATTGTTTACTGAACGCAAAAATATTTCAATTGCAAAGAAGCCGTTCCGGCTTGCATCGATTTTTGCTCATTGTCAGAATTGGACAATTTATTTTATCGCTCACTTTTTT